ATTGCTTTTCACCCTCACACCTATAAAGCTGTAGAACCCAATGTTTAGACCCTTAACCAGGAATGAAGAGTTTAAGGCACAGACAGAGAACAAAAGGAAAGAACGTAGAGATGAAAAGCTGTTGTACAAGTAACCGGAACAGTTTTATAAAAAGTACAAAATTGTGCCAGAGATAAATCAGTTCTATAAACAGGCTTATCTGGAAAAACATAAATGAAAAAAGAAAAAGGGCTTATGTTTTGATTTTTTTTTTTTTAATTGTGAAGTTTCGTCTATTTTTTGAAAATTTACCAATCCAGCTAACATTTTGCACATTGATTAGTGAGTTACCTTCCCTAAGTATGCCCATGCAACAGCTAGAGATACATCCAACTGTAGCCCACGTATTAAAGCGTGTTGTTTTAATGGCTCGTGGTTTGACAAACAACCCAATGCCACCCAAAACTCATCATTATAGCCCTCAAGCAATAAACCACCCACACACATCTTCTCAGCTAAAGACCTGGTATTTAATAGTTGGCGTAAGACAATATGACAATACCAAAACATGAATCCATTTCTCAGAGACAAATATTACCAAACATTTGAATCCTCTTTAGGAGATTCCTCATATGACAAACAGAGATTTGATGCTATAGCAATATCTGCGTATAAATTTGCCTGCCAGGGGGTCAAGTGTAGAGTACGCTGATAGGAGCAAAAGGCAGTTTTAGCAGCAAGAAAGCAGGTCCTTCTCCAAGTAATGATGGATGAGTGGAAAGACTTCTCATCACTAGGCCCCAGGTTGTTCCCCGTCCATGGGTAACATGTTGCATACAAAAGCTGAAAGAAAAACAGAACAAAACCCATCTTAAAATTTAAATGCATAAATACTCCCCGTACAAAGATAAACCTATAATACGTCACACAAATTAAGAAAGTGTTAAATAGTAACATTAAGAGATAGCATTGTCCAATCTATGCCCCTGGCCTAATTATGCTTATATTTTGCCCACTTGGTTTCCATAAAGGTTATTTTAAGTAAATAAAATGGAGCAATTACAAAATAATTAAATAGGGAAATGTTACATAATAAGTGCAATAACCTTTGTGAGACGCTCGAAATAGTAACGTGGCCTATCTTTCTGAGACGGATGGAGTATTATATGAGAAAAGAATGGAGAGAGATTGCGTAAGGGCGTGCTTGATTACAAAAAAAATCCGCTCAAAATTTTTTCGCTTAATCATGGTTAATTTTGATAGAGTTGGATGATTAGTTGTTAGTGAGATTTTGATTTTATGTTAATTAATATTTGAAATAAAATAACTAAAGTTAATTTAATGTAAAAATAGGAGAGAAATGATGTGAAGTGATAGCTAGTTAAAATTATGTGAGTGGATGAATAGTGGATTAAAAGTAAGAATGACTGGTTTGTATTATTCAATTATATTGATAATACTGAAGATAGCGGTGTTGGGTTAAAGGTGAGTATGAATTGAATGTGAACGAATTATTTTGTAAACAAACATGCTCTAAACGTTCATAAGGATGATTTTGTACCTGAATATCTCCATGTAGCTTCCAGAAACATGAAAAGGTGCCAGCTAAAGATGTACCACGCAGGGCAACTTCGGACGCTTCCTATATTGACCTTGATTTTTATTTCAGAGTAAAGTGTGGTAATCATTGAAAAGACTTCACATTAAAAGACCAACCTCCAAGAGTGAGGCTCCCCATCTAGAAGCGCCTGAGCCAACACATTCCTTAGCCAAGCCAAGAAGTGCAGAAGCAAGCCCGTAAAGTGATGCTACGTTGTTAGGTGAGATTGATAAAGCCTGTTGAAACTGCTCGATTCCCTTCAATTGGAAAAAAACAAAAAGACAAAAGCTTAAGAACAGTAATAACTGAAAATAAAACGTTCCTTCATAAATTTGGCGCAATCAGATCCAGAAGATATGAAAGTACTTGAACAGGAGGTTTGTATAGGCATTGATCATTCGAAAGGCCTCTAGCTAAAATCACATCCGTGGAAAGGTAATTCTTATTAATTATTAAATTGTCCAGAACCTACTTTTGATCAAGTGAAAGTAATTCTAATCATGCTGATAGTAACTGGAAGAAGTTTTTCCATTCAATAAGTGCACTTCAATGATCATTCTTCTTCTGATCAACTCCTCAACTTAAAACTGAACAGAGCATGGGTGAAGAGAAAAATGGATTAAGGAATCAAATTAAGCAAGCCGAACAGCAAAAGGCAACTAAATGACAATTTCTATACCAAAGAAGGAAAACTTGACTATTAAACTGCATTTGTCCCATATTACACAGAGAGAGTGTGTCCTGTGAAGGCGTATCTAAACCGATTCATGTGAACAGAGAGGCTTATGTATCTGAAGTATTGGTATATGGTTTAGTAATGATTACAGGCTATCCAGTTGATATAAACTGTAATCAACTAGTCTCTTTCCATTATATTCTGGAATGCTTGCAATTTCTTGATTCCTTGATGTGATTGTTTTTAGTAGCCAGCGGACAAGCTGCTCTGCTTTGTAATGAAAAATAATTCTGAATTCCTTTTCCCAATATTCTACATTCCTACATAAATAGATACACTAAACCACTTGATTCAACATAAACATTAAAGGCCTTTTTTTCCCCCTCCAAAATGAAAAGCCCGCCCATTGCACAACTTAGTGTTCACAAGAATAAAAAAAGTCATGACCAAAAGGACATTAATGCTCAACTGGCGTTGCCTGTGAATTTCCTAAAGATGCATAAGAAGCATTTACATTCAATTTCAAACATTTATGAAATTATGATGACAGATCATGTCGCCACTGAAACAGGGAGTATCTATCATTTAACTTATATCTGCATTGTATTTAATTCGTAAAAACCTACATGTATTTTCATCACCGTTATCCTTCACCATTTTTGGCAGAAAGTCCCTGGATACACTCATAACTAAATAAGCTAACAAAATCACGGCATGCAGATTGAGGTACCTGCCAGTTAAAATACAGGTTGAACGCATAACTACATACCTTTCTAAATGAACCAAGCATCAAAGAAATATTTCCGCTTTCAATCAATGCAAAAATTCTTGAATCGTCCAACTCAACAGCTCTCCCATAAGACTGTTTGGAAAGATAAATGTAATGAGCAAAGAAGCACAATAAACCACGCGCTTTTATCCAAGTTTAAGACCAGAATACTTCATTTTACATTTATGGACACTTCAGTTTACATTTATTGATAATGACATTGTAACATCATAAAAATACTAACCACCATTAACCATTCAACTTCGATCAGTAACATAATACACTGTTAAATGTAGGAAGCAATTTCCATTTTTAAAAGAAATATGTAAAAAGGAAATCTTAATAGGTCAGGTACATGTAGATACGCACATGATTTCTTTGAATAATTTAATTACTAATAATATGTGATGCAACTACATGGGCAATCCTCTCCCAGTAAATGGATATATGGCCAGAAATTTGCGAATATGCTAAAGAAAAAGTGAAGTTTTCCTTTAGACAAGCCCTATCACAAAAAGAATGAAGAAATCCACTCACTATGAGAGAGAGAGAGAGAGAGAGAGAGAGAGAGAGAGAGAATCACCTTGAGTGCAGCAGTAAACATGCCCATTCGTTGGTAGGCGAGACCTAAAGCCTGCATAAGCACATAAAAGGCATGAGGTTGAGTACTAAAAACATTAATAATAACATTAATCTGTTGAAAATAAAAATCACAAAAATTAAATAAGAAATTATTGATGATTCATAACCTCCCACAAATCAAAACAAGTAGGAAACCCACGAATCGCATGCTGAAGGCTCTGTATGGCTTCAGACCATTTCTTTTGATGAACCTGCAGGAACGTAACCAGTCAAACTGCAGAATGGGACAATCACAACAAATGATGAGAGAGAGAAGTGTGTAAAACCTGAAGGTATCCCAATCGACGAAAAGCCCAAAAAGCCCTGGCAGATTTTTCAGAAGCTTCGCGGCAGACAGAAAATATCGAGCTCTCTTTTCCGCCCTCATCCAATAAATCACAGATTGCTTCCTACAAATGGAAGGCTTGAACTTAACTTTACAAGAACTTTCAAATCTTCAGTACGGCATAATTTCATAAACTTCCTCCGTTTTTGCACGTATAGATATGGAAAACTCATGCATCAACCTTCAAAATAGTAAAGTCCTATATCTTAATTTCTCATAGTGGCATCTCGGAAACTAACTCATGTCCGAATCCAAAGCTTATTATTACCATGGGAAACTATCTGTAGCAAATACGGTCTACACGCAGCAGTAATATAGACTACCCAAAACTAACTTAGCATCTCAAACGTAGTCTCATTCAGCACCAATGCTATGCTATCAGAACAGTTGCATTTTTAAATTGGGATATCCCTATGATTTCAACACTTCATAACTTGACATGACAAATTTCGACTTATGTTCCCTACCAAGAATCGGGGATTTGTAAGTATTTAATCCACCAAACATTTAGTAAAATAGTCTAAGTGCACGTTTGTTAGGCTAAAAGAATCAGATCAACATAAATAGCATTTCTCATAAACCTCAACCAAACACATATAATCAAATAACTGAGTACCCCAGCTTCCGAGTCATCAGGATCGAGCGCAAGGGCCCGCTGATAGCACTTAAGAGCCCGTTGAGGCTCGGGTGAGAGACGAGCATAATAATGGCCCAAATATCTGAATGCAGCAGCATTTTGAGGGTTGAGCTTTGCTGCTGCCATCAAATGCTCCACTGCTTTCTCCATCATTTCCTGCCTTATACCATTTTCCCATAACAACACACCCTGAAAATTCATTCCCATATGGTCGCTTCAGTTACTGGTCAAAACACATACATACACACACACTAAGTGAAGAAGAGGTGACATTAAGTTTTCAAATTGATACAATAAGAAAAAGTAGCAAGATACGAATTTTTACCAGATTAAAACGGATGGATGCGTCAGCTGGATTAGAGTTCGCCAATTCTTGCAACTGCTTAATATCGGCCAACAATTCGTCTTCTTCGTCGAGGGCCTGCAAGCGAATCACACTCAATTAAGCAGCCATCAAAGAACAGTTGGTAGAAAAAGGTATAAGGACAAAGGGAAATATAATTTCAAAGCGAGAGATAAAGGGCGTGGAGAAGGCACACCATTGTTGCTGTGAACGGAGGTTCCTCAATCGCCGATTGGTATACAAGTCCCGCTCGGTATTACATCTTTAGTGATGTTCCATAAAATATGTTATTTCCCGGCCCGATAATTGACTAGGGCATGTCTCGAGTTCACCTGTTCAACTGCTGAGTCACCGGGTCAATTGCTCAATCGGATAATCAATTTTAAATTTTTTAAATTTTATATAATATATTTTGTTATATAAATATACATAAAGTAACCAAATTAAATGTTTTATATATAAAATTTACACATTAAAGTGTTAATAATATGTATTTAATGATAAATATTTACCATAAAAATATCTATACATAGTTTTATTCTTAAAAAATATAAATTAATAAAAAAATATATATAGGGACCTATCCGGGTCAATGCCCCAGGTCGGCTGGGTCAAGGCCGGGTTGGCCGGGTTTTGACCAGGTTTAGTCGGATCCTTTGTTGTCGTTCCGAACAGCCCATCGGGACCGGTTTCAGCTCCAGGTCAACCCAGGCCAATCCGAGTTGAAAAACACTGATTTCTATCCTTTATTTTTTATCTACATTTATGCATGGGAGTTTTTTTAATTATTTTCTTTAAACGAACTCGATAGGTGGAGGATTAAGGTAGACTCTCAACTTGTCAACCTGTATATAATCATGACTCTAACTAAACTGAAAAAATTACAAGTCTACACATGTCACAAAAAAAAAGACGGTCAAAATGAAAGTATGAACTCGGGCTGACAGGTCCTCACGCGAACAGTCTGCCCATAAAGTGGGCCAAAGTACAACAAACATAAAACAACTACTAAAATCTGAACGAGATGTAGCCAAGTTGGACCATCCGCTCTAAAGTACGTAGGCCAAGAAGAGCGTTGTCAGGGTGGAAAGTTTACCTCTAGGGAATGGTGGCTCCGAGGCAAGTCAGGAAGTTAGCGGGTCAGTTCCCTTCACAAATGATGTGCGAGATCCAGTTGCAAACTGATGAAGTGTGAATCTGGTGTGCATGAGCAGGTGGTGAATCTGCCACGAGCCATGGTGCCTCGAAGTCAAAATGGTGGCGTCGATAGCAGCCCCTAGCTCAATCTAAATGTGAGTAAAGATAGATACTGCAATATTAAGACCGATCTGGAGCGTCTGAACCTCCGCTTTGTAGCTCGATTAGACCTGAAGAGAGGCGTGGACGACAGTAATTTGAGCTTCGTTGTGATCCCTAATCAGTCCCCAGCCTCCGGCGGCCTTGTTCAGTCGGTCGAAAGATCAGTTAGTGTTCATCTTAATCCACGGGGAGTGGGGTCCTAGTCAAACAACGACTTTGGGGCAAGGGTGCTGAACAGGTGGCAGCGGTATCAGCGGGGTGACTTGTAGCCTGTCCAGTCTATAAGCATGAGTCTGCCTATAGCTGTGAGGAGAGATCTATATGTCGATCAACCTGCAAAACAAGTGAGGCACATAAAGTAATATCCCTATACTTTGCATTAGTCCTCTATGTCCATATGAACTATAAGATCAGATAATGAATGAGGAAGTCAATGTGTGTAAAGTGCGTGTGGTGTGAGAAAAAAAAAACTCAGGAGCACAAATAAATTGTTTGTGGTGGGTAAGGGTATATGACTATATGTGTCAAAATGCTTCCACACCCTTCAACCCCACTCTGTAAAAACAAGTGAGAAAAAGTCTCAGTTTGAAAATCACCGGTCTCGGCACAACACTAACATCGCGAGGGGAAAGAAATCCCCCTCACCTGCAATATAGATCAATCGAAATCCAGCATAGAAAAAGGAGCCAAAAGAAGTCAGAGATGGTTGGGGTAAGCAAATCAGTCCAAATGGCCTCGAAGAGAAGGTTAAGTCGATCACCCAACAATACTTCACCCCAAGCAGAGGTCGTAAAAAATATACCAAAAAATGTAAGTCTCCACCTCATACCGTCTGAACCATCTCTCAAGATGGGAATCTGTTGGATCTGTTATAATAACTAAAATAATTGCTCCCTAAAATCCACTTCAATACCCATTTCCCACTCTAACCTATCCCTATCTCACTGCTCTTTGGTCCACAGGTCCTTCACCGCAGAGAAGGTGAGTGTGTGACATGCCTAGAGCTCGAGAAGGGTCCTTCACCAAACCACCACTCGTTCCAAAAGTTGTCTTTACCCTCTCCCAAAGTTTAGAAGGTGTGCTCCTGGGCACGCCTACCTACCCTGGTGAGCCGCTTCCGTTGTCTACTATCGTGAGCGGTGGTCGTTATCATACAACGGTGACAGATGTCTTTGGGGCAGTACGTGCCGCCAATGCACTAAGTCTAAAACGATGTTCTCTCCCTGAAGCTACCACATCTTATAAAAGAAGATGGTGACAGCGTTTGGTAAGCGGCGGATCTCAAGGCCACCCTCAGAAAAAAGACAGCAAACAGAGTCCACTTCATCCACTGAAACTGTCTCCACCTACGGGAGTCGTCCTATAGGCGAGTTTAGGCTTGATAATTTTGTACAAAAATAAAAAATGAAAAAAAAAATCCCAAATTTTATCCACTTCTCATATTTTGGTATCTCTAATTTTTTATTTAATTAATTGATTTTGGTACTCATTATTTTACAGTTAATCATTTTGGTCATTTTCATTAAAATTTCGTGAGAATCTAAAGCATATCCAATAGCCTTTATTATTGCTATATTTTGTGGTCGCACGCAAATAATCCTATGTGACATGAAAAATGTCTATAATTCCTTTAGATGCAAAAGTCATTTTAAATATCATAAATGATACAACAATTAACATTAACCATAGTGAGAATGAATTGTAATCTTTATGATTTGAATGGGTTGTCACGTCCATAAATAACTATCAAATGGTCTATTCCTAAATCTCTATCAAACTTTTTTTTATTTTTGATACTCTTAAAAAAAGGACAAAAAAAAAAATGCAGAGAAAATGTCGAACAAACTATGAATAAATTCAAAATCACTTTTATGTCCAATTAAACATCAAATTTGAGATTCAATTTTAAGTAATTTTTGGCAATATATTCAAACACACTTTCATATCCAATTACAATCCTTTTTATTATACATGAAATTTGCTTACAAAACTCTAAACCAATAATTGCATACAATAATATGTACCAATAATCCAATCTCCTTAGAATTCTGTAAATTAGCTTGACGATTGCATATAGTTTAAGAATCTAATTTTCTTACAATAACAACATAATTAAACAAACACACGATTTATTTAAAAAACAAAATTTAATATATACAAACACACGACTTCAAAAAATTAAAATAGTTTTTAAAGTATTAAATTAGTAATGAAACTTTAATATATTGTCTTATTAGTCGAATTTAATTTTCTAATCTAAATTTGTTATTAATATTTAGATTTGTTATTTAGTCTAATAATAGATTCGAAAATAACATTCAAGTGCTCAAAAAAATCATCTACCAATTTGCTTCTCTTTGTACAAATAATTACTATGCAATATATATATATATATATATATGTATATATATATATATATATTATAATGTCATTCAGGTTTTTAAAAATCCCAGCAGTATTTTCAGTTATACAGAAAAATAAAGCGCCATTTAAATTATACACTAAATAATATATGTTAGATAGGATATTTCAACGAACTGTTAGATCGTTCTTAGGCTTAAGATATTTAACAATGTCATAAAATCATACACACATATATATATATATATATATATATATATTTAATTACTGGCATTCAGCATTTAATAAAACATATTTAATAAAACTTATAAATTTTTCCCTCCATTTTCGGTTACAAAATTTATCATTAATATTTTTTACTTCTCACATTTATACACCCTATTGATTGTAATGATGTATGTTTCTATTATATTATATAAAGTTATTGCTAATACCAACAAATAATAATTTACAATAAATATAAATTACATAATTATAAACAATTGTTTAAAGTTACCTAATTATATTATTTATTTTAACATCAATATTATCTTTTTCTTTTGTATCTCATGATTTTTTCTTCAAAAAAAAATTAGTAAATTGTTTTAATGGCATAGTCAAACAACCTTAGAATCTCATAAACAAATGTTTTTTAATAATAATAATAATAATAATATATAATTGTTGGCTCATTGGCATTTAATAAAATCTATTAAATTATACCTATGTGGCAATATAATTATTTTCCTCCAAAAATTATTACTTTTTATTTATTTAACCTCTCATTTAATTATTAGATAATTAACACACTAATCACTTAAGAATTACAAAAATCATTTTAAATTTTTGATTTACTTACAGCTGACCATATAATGTGTTGACTATTTAACGTGATTAGATATTATTATGGTTATATTTAAATTAACTTCTTTAGGAAAATAATAAAAAAAAAAACGTATTTGAAATTCCTAAATAAATAATAAATAATTCACAAAAAAAAATATACCAAAATATACATTACATCCAATATGATAAACACAATTTAAAAAACTAAATATTTCAGCTCCTTTAATTGTAAATTTGGCAAAAATTATTAACCATTATATGAATACGGATAACTCACAATACTTTATTTATATATCTGTGCAAATGCACAGGTCGAATACTATTATATATATATATATATATGTGTGTGTGTGTGTGTGTGTGTGTGATTTTTTTTAATAATTATGAGATAGAATAAATTCTAAAATGAATCGAATGCATATATGGCACAATATTTATTTTGAATTTGTTTAAAGATTTTTAAATTAATTACAAAACTAAATAATATTTTTGTATATTAAATATTTATCATTATATATATATATATATCAAGAATTTAACTGTTGTATGTGTTATAAACAATAATAATAATAACATATACGATAATAAATTAAAAAAATAATAGTTGAGTACTATGATGAACAAAACTAAGTAAAATTATTATTTTGTCTATATCAAAAAATAAATATGAATTTTAAATTACTATTTATTAGTATAAACGGTTAGCAGGCCATTATATCATTAAAATAAAATTTTAAAAAAGGTTCAGGAAACAAGTCCGCCCTGCATCGCACAACTCACTAGTTATAAATGGTACAACAATTAACATTAACCATAGTGAGAATGAATTGTAACTCTATGGTTTGAATGGGCTGTCACGTCCATAAATAATTATCAAATGGTCTATTCTTAAACCTCTATCAAACGTCTTTTTTTTTGTCTTTTCGTAATTCTTAAAAAAATGACAAAAAACTTGCAGAGAAAATGTCGAACAAACTATGAATAAATCTATCAAAAGTGCTTCTTTGAATTGGCTTCCACCCATCAACACGCAGATGATATCCATCATACATGAAACTCGTGAACTCTCTCGACTCCTTAGAGGTGTTAAACGAAACGAGTCGCACGTGAACTCTGCTCGACTCGTTCTCGCATAAAACTCGTTTCGCAACGAGCGATGCTCGACTCAATTAAGGCTAAACCAAAAAAAAAAGATTTTTATTAAATTTTATATAGTTCGGTTCTTTAATGCTCAAATTCAACCAATTATTATTGATAAACGAGTCGAGCTCGATTTCTGACTTGTTTAAATTAACAATAGCAAGTCGAGCTACATTAAAGGCTCAAGCATCCTGATCTCGAACTCGACTCGTTTACAAATTTATGCTATTAGCTCCCTCCCCCATCCTTTTTCGGCGCGATCTCATGGAGGATGGAGCCCTATCCCACTCAACATAAACAAGCTTTTAAAAAAGAAAAGAAGAAGGAAATCAAGCTAATGGAGAGAAAAATTGATTATAAACAAAAGCGAGTCACAAAACACGTCAAACCTATAAAAATCAAATCCATTTTTAATATATATAATTAAAATTTAAATATATTAAATAATAATAACTATAATTATACCACTTAACCTCCCTCCTAATCTCAATATCACATAAAAATTCCGACCATAATCTACTATTCACATCTCCTTTTTTTCTTTAAAAAAAAAAAAATCAGACCAAATTCGGGGCAGCCCTTTTTCTGGTCACCCGAATGTAACAATAAACCGCAGCAAAAACGGCAGTGACGAGGCCGCCGATAATCACCCCGCCGCCGGCCACCGATCTGTCCGCCGAGTGGTGCCTCTCCGATTCACTGCTGTCCAACACCGTCGGAGCTTCAGCCGCGCCTCCTCGCTCCTCGCCTTCGCCGCCACCGCTCTCCGTCGGCGGACGCGCTATGCTCGTCTCCGATTCCAGGTCCCGGAGCAGAGCCCGAGGCCGAAATATCAACATCCCCGCGCCAGATCTACCTGCCCGCGCGTGGGGAATGAGGAACAGAGATGAAAATATGAGGAGTGCGAGCAAGAAATTCCTGCCCATGATGTGTTCGATAAAACGTCAGTTCCAAAGGTTTTCTTGGGGGAGGCTTTTGTGTTCTAAACCTGTAATAATAATAATAGTTTTGTTGTTTGTGCAGAGGAATGTGGGATTTGTGTCTGAATCTGTGAATACTGAGCTGTGAGTGAATAACTGAGCTGTGAGTGAGACAGCATAGGTCAAGGACATATATATATAGCAAGAGGAGGTTAGAAGAGGGGTAGAAAAGTAAATATCTTGTCCAATAAATGGTTTTTGTAAGAAAAAGAAAAGGAAAAAACAAAAAAAAAAAATGTGTGGCTTGAAATTCAAAGGAAGGTTTGGACCTTTCTCTACCGTCTCTTCTGGTTGTTTTTGCTGAGGGAGGGTGTATGTTTATTTTTTAACGGGGGTCGTTCTATTACTCCGTTGGGGGTGTTTCGTATTAGGGTCTTTGTTTTTTAGTTTGATTTAGTGTTGTAAGTGTTGAGATCTTATAGCTTTGTCTATGCCTTGAGTGCTTGTTGGTATTTTGGTCTAGGCCACCTGGATGACGTGGTTCTCCACCTTGTTTTATTAGGACTAGTGAGTCCTCGAATTGTATTTTTGTTTTTGTGCTATGAGATTTTCATTGTTTGAAAAAAAAAAAAAAGAAATTCAAAGGAAGGTTCATAACTCATGCTGTCTTCAATTCATTGCGATTTGCAAGCTGGTGTCCAGTGGCATAATCGTCATTTCAACTCAAAGATTGTGAATTGTGACTCTTTTGTACATTACACGGTTTATTTATTCCACTGCGGACCTGCTGTGGATCAATAGATGCATTAAATTGGAAATAATAAATAATATTAATTACGGTGTCTTATAATAAATGGAAATTTGATTTATTCATTATTTATTTTTTATTTGTTTATTTATTTATTTTTGTAGTATTTGGTTCAAATAAAAATCATTTCTTAAAGTACGAACGCGATGCCAAAGCGCCAAATTATTGGAGATTAAATTGACTTATAAAAATATAAAGAAATAAACAAAAATTTCCCATTACATCTACTCACGACCAAATTCCGGTTCCCGGCCGGTTCCGAGCTGTAATTTTTTGGAGGCCCTGTACCGGTTCAATAATATATACTGGTTGGTTCAATGAACTGACGGTTTCGATTCTAAATCGACCCGAACCAAATTATGATTTGAAACGGAATTGGCAGTTCAAATTAACCATCAATAATCATGAACCTACCGGTCCGAGTAAAAGCACGGGCCGGTTCAAGGCTCGCGATCAACAGGTCTGACCGAGCAAGCTCGACAGACCAGTTCCTCCCATGAACATGTCTAATTGGTTTATCACGCATAATCTTATAATATTTACACATTCCACTGCGATATCTTTTTTTTTTTGTTGATATTTATTTAAAAATAAAGTTATCACTTTTTCAAACACATCTTCATATAAATAAGTTTAATTAATGTAAATTCATCAACTTTAATTATTTTTAGTTTATACTTATATAAAGAGCTATCCTATTTACTAAAATTAGTAGCAAAAAAATAGGTCAGCATTTAATGTAACCCATAAATTGTAGGTTTATTATTTTTCTTATTTTTTCTATAAAAATCATACAATTTAATTTTTTTCTTTAATAATACGCTTTAATATATATGTATATATGATACTTTTTGTAATAAATTTGAATAAAATATGTTATTTAAATATCTAAACAATTTAAAATTTTAAATCTTTAAATTAATTGATAAACAATTTATAAATCTCTATTTTATTTAAATATGTAATTTTATTTAAAATAATTTTAAATATATAAAAATTTATTTAGAAAATCGTATCAATCCTACCAGTTCAACCAACTGGTATTGATAGATTCAATGACAAATATTTTATTCAAGTGAACTAGATTGATTATAAACTGGTTCTCGGTCCATCCGGTCGGACTGTGTCCAATACGGTTTAATTTAAAAACGATGGATAAATTTTGATTAATTTATTTGTATATTTAATTTATAACACAATCGTAATTTTGTTTTCTCGCGCACGGGCCACGCACTAGTTTCCACTAAAGTGCCTAAGATTGTAAGATACATGAGTGGATCTGCTTTAAATAATTCAATCCAAGTCTTCTTCCGGATTTAAAGGTTGTATGAAACAAGTGAGGTCTGAATCTGAAGAGAATGGGAGTACTTTAACTTTAAGGTGATCATATTTGCCAAAAGATTATTGCGTAAGTACTTTGTAAAAAGATAACTTTTGCCTAGTTCAGATTGAAGTTCGCAAGTATGCACTATTAATACTCTAAGCCCTATATATATGCCTACACTCATCAATTATTGTGACAATTATTACGCAATCGCTCTCAAAATGTAATAGAGGTCGGCATCTCAATGGACCAACGAAGGATCCGACCTCCCTAGGTGCCGAGAAAAAAACGTAATCCTGGAGACCAGAAGTTGTAATAATTGTGAATGTCTGACCTACAGATTCTACGAGACCGGTTCCCATATGAACACAGGACTCGAAAATAATATAATATTGTCACTTAACAGCTGATGATTATCGATAAGACGCGTCAATCTAGTTTACCACCTTATAGTGTCTAACCCAGCAGAAAGGCCTGTCAGCATTAATGTCAAATGTGTGCATTTAATGTATGACATGTAATCGTTGAAGATACCTCAAATCGCATTTATAACATGTCAGAGCGGCGCTGTCGTCTCAAGATTACTGTGCAAAATAATAGGATGAACAGTGTCGGAACAATACCAGATTAGAGTTATATAAGTAGGCAACCCACTTTATATACGAGGGTTGTTGAATTTCCTACCAACTATTTTCTCTCTCTACAGTACTCCTTTCAAATTTGTAATAATCTCCCGTGAATATTCAAACTGCAACAAAAGTGTCAACCTCAACATAGGCCAACCTCGTAATCAATATAAGAACATCAATTTTTCCAATCTTTCTTAATCTTTATTCACATCATCATTAAATCTTTATTTAACTGTAGATCGAAATCTACCTTCAACAATATCAATTTGTACAAACTCTATGCGGCCACAACTAGCTTCTAAACACATATCAATTTGTACAATCTCTATGCGGCCACAACTAGCTTCTAATTGTGTTTAAGTTTAAATATATCTAAGAGTTAGAATAATGTCACTTTCGGTTGTTTATTGATAAACAATTCAATAAGATAGAAATTATATATGGGTAAGGGAAAATGTTGTCTCGTATATAATTATACGCCCTAGTTGATTTTTTTTTTTTTT